CGCGAGAGGGACGTCGTCCCCGGTCAAATCGACCCCACCCGACCCCGCGGCGCGCATCGCGTTCGATCGCATCGCCGGGTGCGTCGCGCCGATTGAGGGCCCGGACCCCGCGCCCGCGCCCGCGCCGCCCCGGGGTGGTTGGACGGGAGCGCCGTACACCCGCGGGGGTTGCCGCGCGCTCGTGCGTCCCTTCCCCATGCACCGCTCCAAGTGCTGCGCGAACCTCGCGGCGGCGACTTTCTGCACGCACAGCGGGCACTCCGTCGCTTGCTTGCTCACCCCGCCGGTCCTGCCGTAGATGTCCTTCGTGCCTTTCCCGACCTTGCCGCTCGGGGGTTGGATGTTGATCGGCCGAGGTCCCATCCCTTGCATCGCGCACGCCTCCGCGTTCGCGCCGGCGTCGCGCGCGAGGAGGTCGTGCGCGATGCTCGCCGCGTCCGTGGGCGGCACGCGCTCTTGGACGCTGTCGAGCGTCTCGAGACCGAGCGACAGCGTCCGGTGGAGATCGATCGCGACGTCCCATATCGCGCCGTCGAGGATCTTTTCGTACGTCGCGACCGTCGCGCCGACGACGGAGTCGACGCGCTCGACGCCGCGCTTCAGACGCGCGATCGCGGCGATCTGCGCCAGAAGCTTTTCGTGCTCGCGGCGCTCCGCGTCCGTCATCGGCAACGGCGCGGGGGGCGACGGCGCGATCGGCGCGGGCGCGGGCGACGGCGGGGACGCCTCGAGCACCTGCATGCTGACGCGCGGGGACGACCCTCGCCTCGGGACGACAGACATTCTCCGAGCCGCGACGCTCCGACTTCCGCGCGACGCGTCGCCGCGCGCCGCGGCCGCGCCGGACGCGTCGAAGCCCCCGCGCGACTTCAGACGACGCCGCGCGCCTCCTGCCTCGCGAGACACCGCCGCGCCTCGCAGGTTTGACGCGCGGGTAGGTTCCGGGACGAACGAGCGACGCCCTTACGAACGACGGACGACAGACGCGCGCCGCTCGCCAAGGTGTGCCTCGCCTGGCGGAGACGGAATGGGCCTGTCAATACTGTACTCGTCAACTGCGCTCCATCACAAGGTCACTACGCGCTCACGCCGCGGTCGACTTCGCCTCTCTCAGGAAACTCTGCAGCGCCGCGAGCCGCGAGTCTATGTCCGCGATCTCCGCGTTCGCGTCGCCGTGTCCCGCCTTGGCGAGCGGCGGCTTCGCGCCGCCGCCGCCGCCTCCGTCCGCAGGGCGCGCGTTTTCCTTCGCCGCCCCCGCCCAGCCGTCGTCCTTCGACGCGTACGCGGACAGCTTCTGCTTCACGTCGCGCAAAATCCGACCGGGGGACGCGCTCGCGCTCGCGTTCGCGTTCGCCGCCGCGTTCCCCCCCGAGTCGTTCGAGCTCCGCAACCCGTTGGTCACGCCCGTCGCCGCCGCGCGTCGTTCGCGTCCGCCCCTCGGCCGCGCGGGCGACGCCGCCGTCGGCGTGCCGACCCTCGAGCCCGCGTTCGAATTCGAGCTGCTCATCCACGCTTGCGACCGCTCGCCGACCCTCGCCGGCGACGCCGCGCCGCTCGCGATCCCGGCTCTGGAGTTCATGTACCTCGCCGCGTCCCTATCGCGCTTCTCGCGGACGTACGCGGTCGGGTCGAACCGCCCGGGCGACGCGCCCGCGCCGCGCAGCGTCGGCGACCGACCGCGAAGCCGCGCCGCCGGCGACGGGCTCCGCGCCGTCGGCGTTCGGAAGCCGCCGCCGTCACCGTGCCCGTGCCCCCCTCTCGGCGCGAGCGAGCTCCCGCGGCTCAGGCTCATCCCCGCGCGCCACGGTCGATCGCGGTCGACGGACGACGCGCGCGCGGCTCCGGTTCCGCGAGAAGACGGCGACGCCGCGCCGGGGCGGGGCGGCGCGCGCCCCAGCCCCCGCGCGGGGGACGCGCCCCGAGACGAACCCGCGTACCCGTACGCCGCGCCGCCGCTCCTGAGACGTCGCTGCAGCCCGTCGCACTCGGTCGCGAGGTCCTTCACCTTGGCGCGCAGTTCGCGCTCCAGCTCGCGGCGCCTGGCGGACTCCGCCGCCGCCGCGTCGAGCTCTTTCTGTTTCGTCGCGAGCATCCGCCGCTTGCTGCTCTGTGCGTTGAGCAGCTCCGTCTCTTTGCCCTGCAGCGCGCTCGCGAGGTCATCCCTCTCCCGGCGCAGGAGCTTCATCTCTTTGTTCAACGTCCTGACCTCGGCGTGGAGGCGTTCGAGCTGCTCGTACGCGTGCCCGTGGACGAGGTCCGCGGCGGTGCGCGGCGCGGCGTCTCCATCGCGGAGGTCGAGCTCGCGCCTCAAGTCTCGCACCGTAGCGCGCAGCGCGTCGTTCTCGTCCCGAAGCTTCTCGCCGGACGCGCTGCTCCCGCCGCCCGCGGTCGCCGCCGAGAGCCTCTTGTTCTCCGCGGTGAGCCGCCGCACCGTCGCCTGCAGCGCGTCCGGGTCGACGTGCCCTTCGAACAGCAGCGGCAGCGGGTAGTGCACGCGGTCGTACTCCGCCGCGTACGTCAGGATGAGGTACCGCTTCGACGCGTTCTTCTTCGCGGCGGCGGCGTCCGCGGCGTTCGCGCTCGCGCGCTTCGTCTTCAGCGACTCCAAGTCCGCGTACGTGAGGAGATCCACGAACACGGAGTCGCTGCCGTCGCTCACGGCGGCGGCGAGCATCTTCACGAAGACGTCGTACTTTTTGAAGTTTCCCGTCTTGGCGGTGATGTCCTCGACGTATCGCGCGGTGAAGTCGCCGCGCCATCGCGCGCCGTCGTCCTTCTTCTCCGCCTGCGCGGACGATGCGATGCGATCGCGGGGGAGGCGTCAGGGGATGGACGATGGCGTGGAGCGCGCGTCGACGCGCGCGGTTTGAAAGCGAGGAGACGAACGAGACGAAATCCGCGCGGCGACAGACGACGCCAACGATCACAAGCCGACGGGGGAGGATCTGAGGGCGACCGCGCGTGGACGCACCTCGACGGAGAGCATCTCCGCGTCGACGCTGGATATCGTGACGATGTACTCGACGCCGTGAAACGACAGTTCCGCCTGCGAGTCGGAGGAGGGACGGCGAGCGCGTCAGACGGGTTCGAACGGCGGTCGGGACGACGAACGCGTGCGGTGTGTTGTTCGCATCGTTTTCCACCCGCGAGGCGAGCGACGACGCCGCGGGGACGCGAGCGAGCGGGGACGCGCGCGCACCGTCTCCACGAGCGCGTGCGCGCCGTGCGACGCCATGGGTGCGACGACGTTCGTGTCTCGAGCTGCGAGGCTCGCGCGAACGGCTTTGAGGCGCGCGCGGCGGCGGCGACGCGAGTTCACCCGCATCGCGCGCTCGGGCGCGCGTCGAACGGCTACCGAGCTCTGACGAACCGAGTTTGCCGTGACCCGGAAACTTTTTTTGCTTGTTACAACGCCGCGCGCAACATCGCCTTGAGCTCCTCGCCCGACAACGCCACCGGGTTCCCCTTCATGCTCGAGCTCTCCTTACTCTTCCGCACGACGTCGTCGAAGTCGCTCTCCTTCAGCCCGAACGTCCCCAACCCCGGAACCCCGACGCGAGCCACGAGCGCCGTCATCCACGCGACGCCGTCGTCCGCCGTCGCGTCGTCGCGACCCGTGACGACGCGCGCGACGTCTTCGTACCGCCGCAAATACGCGGAAGACGCCGCCGGGTCCGTCTCCGCGACGCGCCCGCGCAGCGCCGCGACGTTGATCGCGCAGCAGTGCGGCAGCAGCGCGGCACATATCGCCCCGTGCGGCGCGTGAAGGAGCCCGCCTAACGTCCCGCTGAATCCGTGCACGGCGCCGAGCTTCGCGTTGGCGAGCGAGAGCCCGCCGTACAGAGAGCACAGGCACATGTCCTCCCGCGCGGCGACGTCGTCGGGGCACTCGAACGCGCGCAGAAGCGACCGCGCGCCGGCTTTAATCCCGGAGATGGCGACCGCGTCCGTGAGCGGGTTCGACGCGTTGCTGACGTACGGCTCGACGCACTGCGTGAGCGCGTCGAGCCCCGTGTGCGCGGTGACGCTCGCGGGCATCGATCGCGTGAGCTCGGGGTCGATCACGCAGACGTCCGGAAGCATGAACGCGTGCCGCATGGAGACTTTCCTGTCGCCCGCCTCTAAGACGCTGTTCTTCGTGACCTCCGCGCCCGGCCCCGCGGTGGTCGGGACCGCGATGAACGGCGCCGCGCGTCGAGTCAGCGGTCGCGCGCGGCCGACGACTTCGAGGAAGTCGTACAGGTCCGGATCGGATCCGCCGTTCGTGAGGACCGCGGCGACGCACTTGCCCACGTCCACGGGGGTGCCGCCTCCGATCGCGACGACCGCGCCGCATCCGCGCTTCGTCGCGAGCGCGATCGCCGCCTCCGCGGTCGCGGTCGTCGGCTCGCCGCCTTCGCAGTGGTAGACGTGCGACGCGATGGACGCCTCCGAGAGCGCTTTCGTCAGCGGCGCGGAGAAGCGATCGGACGCGCCCGCGACGACGAGCACGGGCTCGTCCGCGCATCCCTCCAGCGTCGTGAGCTCGGTCACGAGCGCGGGGACCCTCGCGACGGTGCCGACGCCGAAGACGATCCTCGCGGCGGTCGCGAACTCGAACGGCGCGATCGTCGCGGCGGAGTCCTTTGCCATCGGCGCCGACGCCTCCGCGGACGGCGACGCGGCGCGAGGGACGACCGCGCGAGGGACGACGGCGGCGCGGCGGGTGGACGACGACGACGACGCGCGTTTCGACGCGCGGAGGGCGACGGCGGGGGATGGCGCGCACGTCGAGCGCGCGGACATGTCGTCGACGACCTGTGTCGGCGCGCGCGGGGATAAGACGCGCGACGACAGCGGAAGCGCCTGCGCCTGCAGTGGTGGCCGCATGGCACTTTTTTTTTTTTTCTTCGCGCTCGCGCGCGTCAGATCTGGCGTCGCGCGCGCTCGGACTCCCGCCGGGCAAGATGCGCATGGAACCCGCGCGCGGCGGCACGCGCGGAGGGAAAGATCAGTTCGACTGGAACGACGTCAAGGGGGACAAAGACCGCGAGTACTACCTCGGGCACAGCGTGAAAGCGTCCGTGGGGCGATGGCAGAAGGGCAAGGACATATTGTGGTACACCAGGGAGAAGGGCGACGGCCCTGGCGGCGCGAACGACGAGATCGCCGCGATCAAGGCCGCGGAGGAGAACGCGATGGCGGAGGCGTTGGGGTTGAAACCGCGCACGGAGCACGTGAACCGCGGGACGAACCTCGAGAAGCACGAGATGGACGAGTTCCTGAAGCGCGGGCGCACGGACGACGATCGCGACTGGAAAGACGAAGACGCGAAGGAGGCGGCGAGGATCAAAGGCTTGGGCGCGCCCGCGGAGATGCAGCGCGGCGGGGTCGAGGGCGAGGTCTTAGGGGGTGTCGGGCTAGACGACGACGACGACGACGACGAGCGTCGCGTCAAGCGCGCGCGCGCGGAGGGCGGGGCATCGATTCCCCCGCCGCCGACGTTGACGGCGAAGGAGCGAAAGAAGCTGAAGGAGAAGGCGAAGAAGCGCGAGCGCAAGGAGGCGAAGAAAGCGGAGAAGAAGGCGAGAAAGAGGGAGAAGAAGGAAGCGAAGAGGGCGAAGAAGAGGGAGAAAGCGACGCGCGCGGGACGGTCGCCGTCCTCCTCCTCCTCCTCCTCCTCCTCCTCGACGTGACGCGCGGAGAGGTGCCGCGAGTAAGTGTATCATTCCGAAAACAAACGTCGATCGAGTTCTCCCGCCCGCCGCGCCCGCCGCGTGACTCATCGCGCCGTCGCCTCGCGCAAACCGCTCTCGATCTGCTCCAGCGACCGTCCTTTCAGTTCCGGCACGAGCGCGTACGCGAAGATGAAGTGACACAGGCACACCCCCGCGAAACACGCGAACGCGCCGCCAGCGCCTCCGAGCGCGTCCGAAAGGCTTAAAAAACTCATCGCGACGGCGCCGGACGTCGCTCGGTTCACCGCCACCCCCAGCGCGGTCCCTCTCGCCCTGACCGCTCTCGGCCACAGCTCCGCGTTCACGACCCACGTCACCGGACCGACGCCGGCGGAGAACGCGGCGACGTAGAGACACAGGACGGTCAGCGTCGCGGCCGGGCTCGCGACGCTCGCGACGCTCGCGGCGAGCGCGACGGAACACGCGAACGAAAACGCCACCGACGTCAGCAGCGTCCGTCGCCGCCCGCCCAGGCCGTCGATCACGAACGCGGAGACGAGCACGAAGAACGTCTTGGTCGCGCCGACCGCGCACGCGGCTTTGATCTGGTCCGTCTCCGACGACCACCCGGCGTCTCGGAGTAACGTCGGGACGTAGTAGACCGCCGCCTCCGTGCCGCACGCCTGCTGGAAAAACATCAAGCCGACGCCGACGACGAGCGCTCTCCGGCACGCGGGGTCGTCGGAGAATACCCCGCGCCAACCCCCGGACGCGCTGCCGACGCGTCGTCGCCGTCCATTTCCCGGGGACTTCGACTTTACCCCTCCCGGGGACTTTTGCGGGGACTTTCGCGGGGACCGTCTCGTCGGCGTGGAGTATCCGTCGCCGCCGCCGCCGTCGGCTTCGTCGTCGTCGTCGCTCCAGTCCCACCGCTCGTCTCGCTCCACGAGGGCCCTGATGCTCCGCATCGAGCTCACGGCGGCGTCCTCGTCCTTACGCTTACCCTCGCTCCCACCGCCCGCCCCAACACCCCCCGCGCCGACGCCGCCGCCGACGCCGACGCCGAACGTCTTCCTCAACACCTCCAACGCCTCCGCGGCGCGAGGATTCGGCTCGCGCATGAGCCACCGCGGCGACTCTGGCATCCACGGCACGAGCGCGAGGAGGAGAATCGCCACCGGCACGGGCGCGCCGACGGATACCCTCCATCGCGTCGCGTCGTCGTCCTCGCACGTCACCGCGATGAGCGACGCGACGTAGCCCAGGAGCAGCCCGGACACGATGGCGAGCTCGAAGCCCGCGGCGACGACGGCGCCGCGCCGCGCCGGCGGGGAGATCTCCGCGAGGTACGCCGGGCACGTCGCGAACGCGAGGCCGACGCCGACGCCGCACACGGCTCGGCCGCACGCCGCCTGCGTGAACGAGTACGCGCTCGCGGCGACGGCCGTGCCGAGCACGAACAGCGCGAGCGCGGCGCCGACGCTTCGCACGGCGCCGTGCTTGTTGTACGCCATCCCGCCGGCGAGCGCGCCGAACGCGCTGACGAAGTTCAGGCACCCGACGACGATCTCGCTCTGCCACGTCTCGAAGTTCCGGTCGCGCTGCATCGCGAGCCGCGCGCCGGCCATGACGCCAATGTCGTACCCCTGGAGAGCGACGATCGCGGCGACGAACGCGACGACGCGCACGGTGTACCACGGCAGCGGCGCGCGCGTCGTCTCGGGGCTTTCTTCGGGGTCTCTCTCGAACGTGCCGTACGTCACGCGGCGGCGGACCGCGCGGATAGGGGACCGCACGATGGCGGCGAGGGCGCCGAGGACGCCCATCCTCGTCGTCGCGCGGGCGGGCGCGCGCGCCCGGGGGCGAGAAGCGCGCGAATCTGTAACACCGGACGGGGGCGGTTTCTGTTCGTATCGTTGTCGACCGTCCGCGCGCGCCGATACTGTAATTTACGGGTCAGCTGACCGGCGTCGCGGTCAACGTCGACCCCGAAAGACGGGCGCGCGACCCATCGCGCGAAAGGAGAATATGCCCTGACGCTGACGCTGATGACGGGACGAAGGCCCGGGCGGAAATTCCCCAGCAACACACAGAACGCGTCGAGCGACGATAACGATGGACCGCGACGGCGGCGGCCGCGGGATGCGGTACGTCCCGTCGTGGACCGCGCTCGAGGAGGCGGCGAGGGAGGAGCTCAAGCGAAGCGGCCTGACGTCGAGCGACGACGCGCCGCGGTACCGACGCGGGAGCAAGCGACCACCGAGACCGCCGAAGACGCCTCCGGGGCTGCTGCGGCCGCCGCACGACGCCGTCCAACGCGCGCGGTTCGCGGGGAGAGGCCGAGGATGGGCCGCGATACGCGAGATCCCCGCCGCGACGGTGTTGTTCCAAGAGCGGCCGCTCGTGATCGCCGGCGCGTTCGACGCGGACGAGGACGCGCTCCGCGAGATGACGCGCGTCCTCGTGACCGACCCGTCGCACGCGTCCACGTGGCTGCGACGCGTCGACGGCGTCTCTCTCTCGACGTCGACGGACTCGCCGACGCGTCGCGCGCATTCGAGCGCGTCGGAGTCGTCCCCGATCGACGGCGTCGACGACGCGTCGTGGAACGACGCGAGGGCGTTCGTCAGGCGCCGCGCGGCGGTCCGTCGATCGCGCGTGGACGCGAACGACGAAGCCGCCGAAACCGCGGCGGCGCCGGCGGGGCGGAGCGCGAGCGACGCGAGCACGGACGACGACGCCGGCGGCGACGAGGGGGATGGATCCTCCTCGTCGTCGTCCGAGGATCGCCGCGCGGGCGGTAAAGGTAAGGGAGGACGCGCGCGTTTCGTCGTGACGCTGTTCGCCAACGCGTCGGCGATCAATCACGCGTGCGCGCCGAACGCCGGTGCGTTCTATGTCACACTGGTCCCCATACGACCGCGTCGGCGTGGTGGACGCCGTTCCTTAAGGAATTTTCCCGGCGTCTCTCTCCGCCCAGGGTCCCTCGCTTTCAATCCCCGCCCTCGACGCCTTTCAACGCCAACTGACGCCTTTGAACTCCACCCCGACGTTCGCTTCGTACGGAACGACCCTCAGCCGTCGCCGTCGCGGGCGAGGACGTCGCGACCGCGTACGCCCTCCGCGCGATCGAGCCCGGGGAGGAGATCACGGTGTCGTACGCGTCGTCGTCGCTGTATCTTCCGCTGACGATGCGGCGGATGGCGCTGTCAAGGAGGTGGGGGTTCGTGTGCGAGTGCGAACGGTGCGCGAGGGACGCGAAGCGCGCGGCGCTCGAGAGCGAACGACGCGCGGGGACCGAGCCGCGGCGGGCGGCGCGGCACGGGGTCAGATCTCGCGGGTTCTCGCTCCCCGGGGACGAGCGAGAGGGGTTCCACGAGTGGGAGCGCGGCGAGACCGGGTTCGAGGCGCAGTTCGACGACGAAGGGCGTCTGAGAGCGACGCTCGGGGGCGTGTCGACGGATGGGCGTCCGTCGAGGGGCAGGAGTACTAAGGGGGGCGCGCGACGCGGCGGCGGCGGGGCGGACGGCAGAGGCGACACGGACGACTCGGACACGTCGTTCGAGTCGTCGTCGTCGTACGACTCGAGATCGTCGTCCGAGGCGTCGTCTTCCGAGGAGGACGACGACGTCGGCGTCGGCGGCGCGCGGCGAGGGTCGGGGGTCGGACGCGGCGGCGCGGCGGCGCCCGCGAAGCGCGCGCGCGTGAAGCTCCTCGGGCCCGGGCGTCTGTACAACAAGCTCGTCCGCGCCGGGATCGGACCGGACCACTGGCAGATGCACGCGACGCGGGAGATCCTCGTGAGCAAGCTGCTGACGAAGGAGGGGAGGAAAGACTTCGACCTGGATCTGCTCCTGGAGCACGCGCACTGCGCGTCGAGGCTCGCGAGGAATCACCCGCACGCGATTCGGCTCGTCGCGCTCGTGGAGGAGGTGTTCAGGTCTAACCGCGCGGTCGTGCGCGCGGAGCCGTCGTGGGTGTTCACGATCACGCTGCTCAGGGAGAGCGTGCATCCGGACGTGTTGTTTTGGAACACGGAGTTCAAGGGGTTTCCGAATAGGGACGACGACGAGGCGGTTTAGGCGATTTTATTCAAAATTCAAACACGATCTATTTCGGCGCGGCGTCGGACGAGGGGAAGGCGACAGGGCGACGGGACGTTCTCGCGCGCGCGATGATGAACGATGTGTGCGTGTGTTCGTTGGTTCTCGTGAGTGTGGTGGTGATTATTTATCACCATTGTGTTTGAGACGTCCGAACGGAGTCGGCGCGTCTTTTGGTTTTTGAAGTTGTTGAAGAGCGTCTCGAACGGTTCGGGTGGCTGTTTAGCCGCCGAAGCCGTAGAGGGTGCGGCCCTGGCGCTTGAGCGCGTAGACGACGTCCATCGCGGTGACGGTCTTGCGGCGGGCGTGCTCGGTGTAGGTGACCGCATCGCGGATCACGTTCTCGAGGAACACCTTGAGGACACCGCGGGTCTCCTCGTAGATGAGACCGGAGATGCGCTTGACGCCACCACGGCGTGCGAGACGGCGGATCGCCGGCTTCGTGATGCCCTGGATGTTGTCGCGAAGGACCTTGCGGTGGCGCTTGGCGCCGCCCTTTCCGAGCCCCTTGCCTCCTTTACCTCTGCCAGACATGTTGAGTGAGTGTTACGAGTGTGTTCGTAAGTGTGGCGGCAATGGCGAGCGGGAGCGGCTTTTACGTCGAAATCCGGCGACGTCCGAGGTGCATTGGGGGAAATAGACAGTCGTTCTCGAGTTAATAAATAGGGTCGCGATTGTCATTTGTCCTGAGCGAAAACGTCTAAACGCAAAATGAGGCAGACGCGATCCAGCCGGTAAAAATAACGCGTACATCGACTACTGATCCAGACGAAATTGACATTTTGGCAACGAATTGAAGAGGATGTTTTTTTCCGTACTCGCGCGGTTCGCACACGCAACCAGTCAGAGGACGCGTACGTCGCCGCGCGTACGTTGATTTTTCCGCGGCGGAGAGTTCAAAAACGCGAAGCCGTTCCCCTCGTCGTCACAACCCAAACACACCACAACAATGGCCCGTACGAAGCAAACTGCCCGCAAGTCCACCGGTGGCAAGGCGCCCCGCAAGCAGCTCGCCACCAAGGCGGCGCGCAAGTCCGCCCCGGCGACCGGCGGCGTGAAGAAGCCGCACAGGTACAGGCCCGGTACCGTCGCGCTCCGTGAGATCCGCAAGTACCAGAAGTCCACCGAGCTCCTCATCCGCAAGCTCCCGTTCCAGCGCCTCGTCCGCGAGATCGCCCAGGACTTCAAGACGGACCTCCGCTTCCAGTCCTCCGCGATCCTTGCGCTCCAGGAGGCGTCCGAGGCGTACCTCGTCGGCCTCTTCGAGGACACGAACCTCTGCGCGATCCACGCCAAGCGTGTCACGATCATGCCCAAGGACATCCAGCTCGCCCGCCGCATCCGTGGTGAGCGCGCGTAAGCGACGACTCCTTCTGTGGTCTTCAACATCTTCAACTGTCTTCGGACGTAAAACAAACCAACTGGTGATAAATAATCACCATCACACCGAAAGAACATTCGACTCGACTCGACGCTCCGCGTCGTTTCAAAAAAATAAATTTCAAACTCGTAACCAAACGCGCGCTTCGCGACCCGGCCGCCGTCTCTCTCGCGCGCGCCCACTCTCTTTAATCGCGCGGACGAGTTCAATCGTAACTATGACTGCTATTGTCTATTAAAAAACAGCACGACGACGCCGCGCCGCGCTGTCGCGTTCGTTCTATTCTCCGGCTGGCGCGATCGCCGTCGTCTGCAAGCTAGTCCCAGATGCTCAACCCCGGACCGCCCCCGAGAGCCTTCCTGTTCACGACCGTCTTCCGTTTCTTTCCACCTCCCGTCCCGCCGCCGCCCGCGCGTTTCTCCGCCTCGCGTCTTTTCGCCTTGAGCGCCGCGCGCGCTTCCGTCCCGCCCGCGACCGACGCGGACGGGACTCTCGACCGTCCTCGAGACGCGTCGTCGTCCGCGTTTGAACTCGAAGGCGCGGGCGCGTCGCCGGAGACGATCCGCGGCCACGCCCTCTCGATCGCGTGCCCCATCCCGGACTTCATCCAGTCACGAACCTCCGGCATCAAATATCGCGGCTCTCTCCTCCAAACCTCGATCAGCGCCGCGCGGCTCGCGACGTTCCGCCGTCTCAGCGCGTGAATCAACTCGATCACCCGTCGCTGCGACTTGCCCTCCGGCCGCGCGCACAGCGAAGGCTTCGCCGCGAGCTTATCTCGAAACTCCGCCATCGGCGCCGACACCGCGCCGGACAGCAGCGCCGCCGCGAACGCGCCGCAGCCGCCTCTCTCCGCGGTCAGCGGCACCGCGTGCAGGGGTAACTCCCAGCGGTGCCTCCCGTGCGAGGGCTGCGCGAACGCGACGACGGCGTCGCGCGCTCGGACGTACCGCGGCGCGGGCTCTTCCAACGGCGACGACAGCGACGTCAGCGCGGCCGCGTCGTCGACGAGCCACGCCGCGTCGACGACCGTGGCGCCGATGACGTAAGGTCGCTTCGCGGTCTGCATCAAGTCCACGTACACGACGTAGTCCGGCGCGCTTCGGTGCAGCGTCGACGACGGGTGGAGGAAGACGTTTTGGTCCAACATCGCGGGCTTGTACCGCGTCGCTTTCGTGTTGTCGTTCTCGTCGTACTTCTCGCGCACGTCCGACGGTTTCGAGCGTCGCGCGACGCGGTCGGCCCAGCCGATGAGTAACGCTCGTCTCAAAGACGTTTCCCCCGGGGCGCCAATCTCTAGCGACGACGCCGCCGGGTCCTTCCGCCGCTTTTCCCCGCGCGGCGGCTTGTTCACCGCGGCGGACGCCTCCGCGATCGCGCGCTTCGCGCCCGGGGTCAACAGCGACTCGATCCCCGCGGTCGCGTGCATCGCGACCGAGGGAGGCGGCTTCGAGAGAATTCGAAGCAGCTGTCGCCGCAGATCGCTCATCTCGCGCATCGTCTTCCCGTGCAGGCGGTGCTCGACGCAAAATTTCTCCGCCGCCCTCGGGTCGTCCACTCCCCCGGCGGCGTCGAACGCGACGAGCGCCCTCGCGGCGCTCAGCGCGTCGCTGTTCGGGTGATGAAACTTGTGCGCGAGCTTCCGCCGCCGCTTTCGCTCCTCGTCGTCCGCCGGAGCGTCGCCGTCCGTCGCGTCGCTCTGCTTCGCGTCCGAGCGAAGAAACGGCGAGTCGACCGACAGCGCCGCCGCCGTCGCCACCGCGGCGGCGAGGCAGCCGCCGCTCGGCGACGCGCCGAGCGCCGCGAGGAGCATCCGCGCGTGCCGCGGCGATATCGGCAGCGCCGCCATCGCGCGTCCGACCTCGGTCAGGACCCCGACGTCGTCGTCCGCGCCGAACGACCCGAAGTGCCCGTATTTTCTATTCTCCGCCCCCGCGGCGGGTGCCAACGCGCCGAGAATGGCGAGCGTCTTCCGCGCCGCGTCCAACGCCGCCGGCGACGGCGGGGATATGAACGGGAACCTCCCGACGCGGTCGATCCCCATCGCGCGCATCTGCAGCACGACGCCCTCGACGGGGACGCCGAGGATGGCCGGCGGCGCGTGCGGAGGGAGCTCGTTCACGAAGTGCGCGGAGGAGAACAGGCGGTAGCAGTGCCCCGGACCGGTGCGCCCCGCGCGTCCCGCTCTCTGTTCCGCGCTCGCTTTGCTGACCCAGCCGACCTCGAACTTGGAGAGTCCCGCGCTCGCGCTCGCGGCGCCCGCGCCGTCGCCGACGCCGGCGGCGTCGTCGCCGTACACGCGGCGTTTCTCTCGCCCGGCGTCGACGACGTATCGCACGCCGGGAATCGTGAGCGACGTCTCCGCGACGTTCGTCGACACGATCACGAGCCTCGCGCCCCTCGGCGGCGGGTCGAACACGCGCTTCTGCAGCGTCGGCGGCAGCAGCGCGTACAGAGGCAGCACGTGCAGGTACCCCGGGCCGTCGTCCTCGCCGTCGTCTTCCGCGCGGGATCGGGATCCCGGCGCGTCGGACGTCGGCGCGTGCGCTCTCGTCCACGCGTCCTCCGCCGCCGCGGCTTCCTCCGGGGTCACGCCCTCGCCGCCGTGGACGACGCGCGCGTCCTCGTCCTCGCTGACGTCGGACGCGCTGTCGTCGTCGATCGCGTCGTCGAAGTCGTCGCGGCCGTCGAACGCGTCGTCGCCGTTCGCGTCCTCGCCGCCTCGGTCGTCGTCGTCGTCGTCGTCAGATTCGGATTCGGATTCGCCGCCGCGGTCGACGCCGTCCACGTCGTACGCGTCCAACGCCGCGCCGTCGCCGTCGCCGTCGCCGTCGCCGTCGTCGTCGTCGTCCGGCGGCGGCGTCGCTTCGCGCCCGGCCGTCGCCGCCTCCCCCGCGCCTTTCTTCTCTTTCTTCGGGAACGCCTTTCGGAGTTTATCGCACAACCCCTCGACCTCGCGTTGACCGGTGACGAAGACGAGAATCCCGCCCGGCGGGAGCTTCTTGTGAATCGCGAGCGTCTTCTTCTTCGCGGCGTTCAGGTAGTCCCCGTGTTCGGTGACGCGCGCGAAGTGCACCGTCACCGGGTACTGCCTCGCGGCGATTTTCAAGAGCGCCGGCGGCGTCGGGCACAGCTTCTTGTTCCCGACGAACTCCTCCACTCGCAACGTCGCGGACATGACGACGAGACGCAGCGGCGTGATCCCCGGCCGGCCCTCCATCGCGAGCTCCGCGCGCAGCGGGACGACGCGCGACAGCAGACCCAACAGGATGTCCGTGTTCACGCTCCGCTCGTGCGCTTCGTCCACGATCACGACGCTGTATTTTCGAAGCAGCAGGTCCGACTGAATCTCGCGCAGGAGGACGCCGTCCGTCATGAATTTTATCCGCGGCGACGCGCCGACTCTCTTGTCGTACCGCACCTGGTACCCGACCTCGCCGCCGAGCTTCACGCTCAACTCCTTCGCGACGCGCGTCGCGGTGGACGTCACCGCGACCCTCCTCGGCTGCGTCACCGCGACCGCGCCGGGGTGGTCGAGACAGTCTTCGTCCCCGTAGCCCGCCTCGTACAGAAACTGCGGCACCTGCGTCGTCTTCCCGCACCCGGTCTCGCCGCAGATCACCGTGATCGGATGATGATTGATCGCGTCCACGATGTCGTGCTCCGCGCCCAATATCGGCAGCCCCTCGCGCGCTTCCTGTATCTTCGCGTCGCGCCGCACCGGAACGGAGAACGACGCGCCTCTGAACGCGTTCGGGAACCTCGCGTCGGCCGCGCGTCGCGCGGCTTCGTTCGCCGCCGCCAGCTGCGCCGCCGCGTCCTTCGGGTCCAACGCCGCCGCCGCCGCCATCGGGCCCAACGCCTCCGTCGCTCTCTCCGCAGCCTGCTCCGGGTCCCTCGCGCGGACGAGGTCGGACAGCGCGCGCGCGGTCTTCATCGCCGCCGCGGTCCTCGCCCGGGCGGCGGCGGCGTCGACGCTCTCCTCAACGTCGTCGTCGCGCGTTTCGTTCGCCGCCATCACCGCCGCCTCCGCGGCCGCGAGCGCGGCGGCGTCGCTCAGTCGCTTCGTATCCATCGGGTGTATCGGGCCGTACTCGTCCGATGCTAAGCCCGCCGTCGTCTTCGGGATCTTCTTCAGGCCGCTGATCGTTCCGCCGACGCGCGGCCACGACGCTTTTTGTTTTTCCTCGAGCATCGGATCCTCCTCCTCCGCGGCGTCTCCGTCGCTCTCGCTCTCGTCGCCGTCGCCGTCGCCGCCGTCGTCGTCCTCGCCGCCGCCGCCGTCCTCGCCGACCGGCGGCTTCTCGCGCTTGTGGAGCCTCGAGTCCTCCGTCCCCGGGAGGCGTATCCCCGCGCGCTCCGCCTTGAGCTCGCGCCGCAGATTCTCCCTCGCCGTCCGCCTCTGCCCCATCGCCGCGGACCCGTGCAGCAGCGCGAGCGACGCGTCCGACACCAGCTTCGCCGCCTCGAGGCGCTTCATCACGCTCGCGCGCTCGCCGCGCTTTCTTCGGTCCTCCTCCAGCTTCGCGATCTTCCTCTTCTGAGACTTGCTGAGCTTCTTCGCGGCCGATCATC